CATTCAGGTGCCAGTGTCTGCCGTGCAGTGGGATGGATCTCAGTTCCCCTTGACCTGCCACAAGGAATCTAGAGGAGGTCATTTGAGAGGTAATCCCAGGAAATACTACTTGGAGAGTATGGAATGTGTGAAGGGAAGTCAAGATAGCTACGAAAGAGCTCTCTGGTGAGGGATCACTTGAACAGCTTAATTAATTCTGCTGGGAATCCTTGGAGACTGACAGAATACACCCACCCAGACCTGGGACATTTAGACTCGGCTTCATACAGCCATTGTCCCCAGCATTTCCAGCCAGTTCCACAAAAGGGAGAACAGAGAAATTCCTTAACAAAGATGCAGAGCTGGCAGCTTGACCTTATGGATAGGATCAGTCAGGATCTTTTTTACAAGGGACCCAAGAGAACTCTGTCACCCTCTTTCTGCCACATGTATCAGCAGGCAGAAGTCCCCCATCAGAACCCGAGCATGCTCACACCTGATCTTTGACTTCCAGCCTCCAGTACTGTGGGAAATAAATGCTTGTTGTTCTAGTCACCCAGTCTATGGTACTTTGTATAATGGCCCAAACTAAGACAGAACTCCTAGGATTCTAAAATGAAAGCCAACATCCTGGATTCCCAATGGCCACTGGGAAACCTGGACACCTGTAATGCTGCAATGTCATGCTTGTAAGAACATGCTCTCAAAGCTGGAAAGAAGGGCACTGTACCCATATCTGCTGCTTATACTGCATGCTCTCAGATTGCCTCCATGAAGGGAATTGGTGTTTCTGAAGCTTTGGGAGCCCTAAGAGATGTCACCTCAACCCAGCCAGCATTCTTACCAAAGGGTGATGCTCCAGTGAGCACACACAAGACACTTCAGTGACTTCCTAAAATATCCTGGTAAGAATATGAGAAAGAATGTTTTAGGAATAAAATGTCTATAGAATTCAGAGATCTCACTGGTAGGATCTGGGGAAACTCCATATTCAGTGTTATATGTATCTACTGGCAGGTGGAGTGTGGAAGCATAAGGGTGTGGGACAGTTAGAAGTCCATGCCTGGAACAGGGACAGGGCAAAGTCTGAGGGGATGATATTAGAACCTACAGGTGCTTCTCTGCCTTAGCTGCTACAGATGATGGTAAAAAAGCAGATAGTGCTTTTAAACTCGAGAGAAAACAGGACACAAGAATGTGGAGCAACAGGAACTCCCCTTTACTTCTGGGGGGAATGCAGCATGATGCTGCCATTTTAGAAAACAGCCTCACAGTTTCCTACAAAACTAGACATGCTCTTATGATAAGATCTAGCAATCACACCACTTGTATTTACACTAAGGGACTGAAAACACATGTCCATACAAAAATGTACACAGGGATAATTGTAATAGTATTACTCATAACTGCAAAAAGGTGGAAGTAACCAAGATGCCCTTCAGTGGGTGAATGAATAAACAAACTGTGGTACATCCATACAATGAAATATAAGAACTAAAAACAAATGAGTTTTGGAGCCACAAAGTACATGGAAGAACCTTAAAAATTTATTTTTAAGTAAAAATGTCAATCTTAAAAAGATACAAAGTAGAATTCCAACTGTATGACATTGCAGAAAAAATAAAAGTATAAAGACAGTGAAAAGATCAATGGTTTCCAGGGTTAGGGGAAAGGGAAAGATGAATAGGTGGAGAATGAAGAATTTTTAGCAGTGAAACTATTCATTATGGTAGTTTAATGGTTAATACATGTATTTATGCTTCTGTCCAATAAATAGGAAGTACAGCATCAAGAGTGAGCCCTAGTGTAAACTATGCACTTTGCTTCTTCAAGGGTGCCCCAAACTCTCACTAGTAGATACAGATCTGTAATGAACTCCTCAAACTCTCTGAAGTAGAGTACCTGAGAGGAGTCACACAAGAAAGATCCAGGCTACCTGTCCTTGGAGTCTTGGAGAACTCACCCCTATACACTCCCCATGCTCACTCTGCCTGTGTTTGGGTTCCACCTCACTTTCTGACTAACTCCAGGACCTAAAACAGGTATCGTAACCTCTCTCTGCCTCATTTTCCACATCTATACAATGGGGACAGGGCTACCTGCTCTGTTTTCCTTTTGGAAAGGTTGTGATAATGAAGTGGAAAACATAAGTTGATGTTCATTAACAGCATCCAATGGCAAGTCTCATCACAGTTATTAGTTGCCTATTTTCCAAAATCTTGCATGTGTTACTGTTATCTTAAGAATGGAGCTGGCTGTCTATGGGCTCAGACCTCTGACACCATGAGCCCCAAATAAACTTTTCCTCCTCTACAATTTTTCTGGTCAGGTCTTTTAGTCACAAAAGTGAAAAAGCTGACTAAAACAATTCCCATATTTTGTTCCTCCTGCAGCATTTGCCAATTCCATGGTGTAAATATTCCCTCCATGGCTTATTTCAAGCTACTAACTTATATTATTGAAAGTTGAGTCAGGTAGAGGTAAGCACAATCCTCTAGAAGGCTCCAGCTCCTGTTCCTGATAAGCGAACTTGCTTGTTCCTTTGAATTTTGCCTGAATATTTGAATTTCTCATCAATAGCCCATCTCTGGTTTTCTATAACTGCAGTCTTCTGACCCTCAATGTGTGAGACAAAATCCCCGCCCCTTTCTCCAGACCTCTTTCCTAGCTCTCCCAGCCCTGGCTCCTGCTCCTCCCTTGTCTTGGTCTGCCTCAGATCCACTGAGTGGTATCAGCAGCGCCTATATGCTGTGGCATTAGCAAAAACCCTGGCCCCGAGCCATGCTGGGCTCCAACTTGCTTTCCAGCCCTCAGGTCTGCTAAAGTCACAGTCAAAGAATAACAACCACAAGGAAATGGGCTCAGATTAAAACAGGAAAGGTCTTGATTGACTCTAAGAACTTTTTGGCCCTAAACTGCAACAGGTACTCAAGGAGGCTGTTCAATCTCTGAGTCCAAAAAGCTTCAGGAAGAAGATAAATTATGCTCTTCCTGAATGGCAAGAAACTTACCTGCCTGAAGGAGGGGTGACTGAGGCAGGATGTACATCCCTTGGAGATGTCACAGGTGCTCCTGGCCTGGAGACGATGTTAGGGCTACAGGGGTTAACATCGCAGAAAAAAAGAATTTGTGCCATTGAAGACATTGTAGGGTAATGCTATGCCTTCTTGAACATATACTGTGTGCCAGCGAGTTCACATAAATAATCTCTGATTTTCCAGAAAAATTCTGCAAGTAGGTCATATTCGTGTCATGCCGAGAGAAGAAACAGGCCTACAGTCTTGTCTAGATCACTCAGGTGGTAAGTGGCAGACATTTTCCCTGACTTCAAAGTCCACAGTAAGTAATGTCCTAGTGATGTGTCATGGAGGCCCCGAGGACATAGGTTTTAAATCCAGGTTTGAATGAATCAGCTGTGTCAGCCTTCTTTGTGACATCATACCTCTCTTCTCACTAATGCTAATTACCAAATGCTGGGAGCAGGTATCATGTCCTGCTACCACAGTTATGGGGTAATGTCACAGCTCTGCCACTAACTGGCTCTGACGCCTGGAAACATAAGGCTCCCCAACAGCAGCTGGTAGGTTGATGGTGGCCTTGATGTTTATTCACCTGCCCATGGAAAAAATGGAAAAAATAAGGACACTGCAGAAAATTTATCATAAAGCTCAATTTGAAGGACAGTCCTATTCTAACATTATGCTGTCTACCTTTTCCTGTATTTATGATGCTCATTCATTGATGAAAGGAGAACAATAGTTTTTGGTAATTTGAGGCTGGACATATCTGCCACTTACCAGCTGTGCATCTGGACAAAGTGACTGACCCCTCTAGGCCTTGGTTTATTTTCTTGGGGCATAAGGCTGAATTCTTCAGATTTTTTCTGGAGAATCAGAGGATACTTCAGTAATGTCCCTGGATCATATGTTTTAAAAATGCTTATAAATTGGCAGAAGAAAGAACTGGAAATGCACTACTGAGACCCTTTCTTAAAAGAACACCTAGCCTTGTAAGTGAGGGACCGGGTGGTCACCACAGCCTCTTCAGCTTCCAGAGCTAGGAGGCTGCCTTCACCTCAAAGCCCATCTTCCTCTCTCCACCTACCACCTAGGAAGGTCACCCTCCCTCCTGCTCTGCTCACATGCAGGTCACTGCTCTGCCCTGAGCACTCAGAAGCATGTTCTGTGGATGGAAGCTCACAGAAAACAGATGGAGTACCAGTCCCTTGGGTCCAGCTTGAAGTCAGAGTGTCACGAGAGGCACACTTGATTTCCACTCTGTCTGAGTCACTTCCCTTGCCATTTCCCCATCAACATGATGGGGAACACGGGCCTGCTGGGTGCAGTCACTTAACTCATTGTGAGTGGCTTTGCAGTGTCAGGGAGCCATTCCTGTGTCTCTGGGCAAGGTTGGGCCCTGTTGGCTCCATGTGGTGCCCCCTCACTGCCCAAGCCCTTTCAGTACCCATTTCCTGCAGGGAAGCATTCTGCTGCCAGCCCCTGAGCCCAGCACTGGGCTAATCCCTTCCCTCCTCTCAAGGCATTTCTCTCCATTACCTTGTGAAGAAAGGGGCCAGAAAGTTTGGGTTTACTGCCAGCTATAATTCAGAATAATTCTAAAAGCATTTTTTGAGACTTTACCATGCCTTTGGCTTCCCACCCCGGGGCCCATTATCCATCAGGAGTAGTTCTGCTGCCAGCACATGTCCACTCAGGGGCCAGCTGACTCAGGAGAGCAGGAAAGGAGCAATGAGACATGTTACCCTGTTCTTCCTTTTTGAGGGGATCTCTGCTTCCCTCGACAGTTCAAGGCCTTTGCCCTCAGCTGGCCAGATTTAGCTCTCCTCTTATTTGATCTCTGGGTTCCACTGCTTTCCAGACCCCTCAAAAAATTCACAATCCCCTTGCTCTTTATCTGGCAGTTCAAAAATGGCTTTTCTCCTTCCTCCTGCATTCTTTCCCTCCTTCCCCTGTGCCCTCTTGTCCCTTTTATCCCTATCTACCCTCTTGTGTCTCAGGAGTCATGCCAGAGCTTGGAAATATGAGGATAAGCAGAAGAGGGAAGAGGGTCTCTGCCTACAGACAGACCCTTCTCATTCAGACCAGAGGGAAAAGACACACTCACACACCAGCCACAGTGTGGCCTGGCATGAGAGGACCTCAGGACAGGGCTGAGTACCAGCTTGGAGACCTTAGGAAAACATGACCCAGCAAGATGAGGAAACCAAATGACCAGATGTCAGCCTGAGAAAGAGAATAGGTGAGGAATTGCTGGGAAAAAGAGCCAGAAGATGGCAATATGTTAAGAAATTTGAGCTTCCTTCTGCTGAAAAGCAGATTTTCATCTTAAAATTATAAATCTGGCAACAGAAGAACACCAGGGTGAGCTGGGAGATAGGGAAGCCATTAGTATAGGGTTGTGCATGTTAGCCACTGGCAAACCAGAGCAGAGAGGCCTCAATTTGTAGCATTGGCCAATTTCTCTGGTGTAAGTTTCTCTGGACAATTTTAAGCTACAAGAGTAACCTCACTGAAAGCAGAATTGGAGAGAAATGAGCACCAACCACTTATGAGAGGTGGTTACAGCCCACCACTGCGAAAACAGTGAGAGAACCCAGGCAAGGAGTGCAGATTTCTGGGTCACTGTTCTCCAGCCAGCATCTGACCCTTGATGTCCATTTGTTCCTATAGTGGTGTCATCACCCAGCACTGCAAGACAGTGAAGTACAGGAGACACAGAAGCTCCACAACTCAAGAGGTGGCCCTTCTGCAAGGAACTTGCTACTGTCCAATCTCCTAGAAGCTGTAATTTTCAAAGCCACACTCTTTATCATCTCTAACCCCAAACTAGACTCTCTACTTTGAATCATGATTTCAGCTTTTGCCACCAAACCCAGAAAAAAATCTCATTTCCCTCTGCGAGTAGGATTTAGAGTTGGTGGTCAGGCAGGGAAATTTGGTGCCGTGATGAATCATTGCTTTGGCTGGATCTTTGACCGAGTTCTTCCCCATTTGCTTGAAAAGTTAAGGAGAAGGCCAGATAATAAGCAGGAAAATTCATAAGTGGTGGGATAGTTTCTTCAAAGAATGCTGATCAAATATCCATGCTAACCTTAAGGACAGACTGTTGTTCTAAATGCCCCTCGTGTGCACCTTTTAACTTGGTATGAAGGAGTTTGTGGTCATCCAATGAGAGGCAGCAAGTTGAGTAAAGGATTGGGAGAGGTAATGACTCATGCCATGGATCAAGAAGGATTCCAGGGACTGAAATTTTGCCTTAGTGGTAGAGCACTTGCCTCCCATGTGGGAGGTACTGGGTTGGATCCTCAGCACCACGTAAAAACAAATCAACAAAATAAGGATGTTTGTCCATCTACAAGTAAAACTCAATAAATAAAGGATCCCTGAAGTCCTCACAAGCTGGCAGGACATTCCCATGTAACAAAATGTAACTTAGAAAATGGAATAAATGTAGCCTTCTTAAAGGCAAACAGCAACATATATTTCTCCCCAGTTTTTGATGAGGAAGATGTGGTTTGAGCAGCAGTATGGTTTAAAAAAACAGGATTAAAGCTAACTGTAAACTCACTGTTAGTCACTGTGATGTGGCTGCCCAAAACAAAACATTAATGCAGTGTTGGGGTTTCTAGAAAATCCCAAAAAGGAGAATAGTAATTCCCCTGGGCTTTGCACACTTGATCCCAGCTCAGCACTGCCTGCTAAGGGCCCAGAGGCTTAAAAGTCTGTGTTCTAGGTGTGGAAATTGGATCCCTGGGAACTAGGAACCTTGGTGCAGGATGCAGACCACTAAGACCAAAGGGAGAAGTGAGTCTGGGCAAGGCAGGATGGATTACAGATTTCCTATGATGGTTGAGGTGCCATGTTAAAAAAAAGATGAATCTGATTTCTTCAACCAGGTCAAGGTTTAAAATAAAATGCAACACACAGAGGAAAGAAGGGAGGAGGATATAATATATATTATTCCTCAATATCTGCAGACTACTGATTGCAGAAATTTGCAGATAAACAAAATCTAAGGATGCTGAAGTCCCTTATATAAAATGGCACAGTACTAGCATCTGAGCTAAGCACATCCTCTTGATGACTTATACCTGATATAATGTAAATGCTATGTCAATAGTTGTTTTACCCTTTTATTTGAGGAATATAATTACAAGTTAAAAATACTATGTACATGTTCAGTACAGGTGAGGTATTTTTCTTTTTTCAAACATTTTCAATACTCAGTTGGTTGGACCCATGGATGCAGAACCCTCAGACATGGAAGGCCAACTGAATGACAGTTGCCCATTAATATGTTTGTACCCTTGCTAATTTGCCGATGTCTCCCAAGGCAGATGTCCCTCCCAGTTTGAGGATAAGAAAAAGTGACCCAATAAAGCCAGCCAGCCTAGGGTCTCCTTTCTTAAGTGGCAGAGCCTGGACTATATCTCAGATTTCCCATCTTACCCCACATTCATACAGAACTTAAGTCTTCAGGTCGCCTGCGCCTCTGTCTCTGTGCCCAAGAAGTCCTCAGAGGAACCTGCTTTCCAGAATTCTGATAAAACCCAAACTGCTCACTGTAAGCTCATCAGCATCTAGCCATGTGGCCCTGGAATAAATGTGAGCTTTCAACACTATTAATAGGTGTGGGAATGTTGGAGGCATAGAGCTTTCTTGAGGCATCTCATAGGATATATTAAAGAAACAACCCAAAACAATTGGTGGTTAAAAGAAGACTCAATACTTTTATTTTTTAAAAAAATCCAAAAGCACAAACACAGGTCTAACAGCACAGGTGTTGTCCTGTGCATCCATCACCACCGTAGAAGCAACACAAACATCCCTTGAACAAGCACCTCCACCTGCCAACCTCCAATCTGCCACTCGTTGCAAATGCAGTCTGCAGCAAAAACTTGCTTCATGTAAACAAACACCGAAAACATCCAACTTGACAATGCCCCCATCTATAAACTGCAGCAGTCAGCCTTCATTTTAACAAGAGCTGGATAAAACACCAATGTAGATGCCCTGTCAAGCGAACAGGACACCACCTGTGTGTGAAAGACTTGGGAAGATGAAAAATACATGGGAAACCCCTCAGTGGTTAAAACTGCAAATGAAAAAAAAATACTTTAAGGAATCACTAGAAACTCATCAAACAAGCCAAGAGACCTAAAGACAAATAATATTTTTAAAAACACCTACATTTATATCTTATGAAGAAACTGGTACAGTTGCCAATGGACTCAGCACTGGTTTCCTGAAGAAAAACTTAGGTAAATATAAAATAACTTAAATGTTGACCTGGTCCTCCACCTGTGGGAAACATACCACACAGGGGGTGTGGGTCATTTGAACGAAGATGTTCACACCTGTACCACTGATCATAGTGAAATCATGAGAACCCAGACAAAGTGCTCAGGGAAATTTTCAGAGGAAAAGCTAAGCAATACCAATCATGATATACTATGAAAAGAATATGGGGAATAGTTGTACATGAAAAGATTTATATAAAAATGTAATGTGACAGAGAATGGAATTTACATACTTATTATAACTACAAAAACACATCTATATTTAAAGTTACATTCAATTAAAAGGTCTTTGTTTTCTTACTGTTAAACTGGTTAAATATATTTAAAAATATGTACAGTCTGTCCGCAAGGATAAAGCTGTCCCCCTTTCCTGTGCATCTGCTTCTAGAGCCTTTTCTTGTGGTCTGATTTCATGTGCTCTTCATGCAGCCCATGGAGAGGGTGGTCAATGTTCTTGCCACAAATCTAGACTAGAGAGCACATATGGCACCAACAATGGAAATTTCTGGATCCTATCCAAAAAAAAAATCAGGTTTGGGGTAAACAATGCAGAGAGACATCTCAGTGAAATTTTACAGGAGAGACTGAGACCACAGGAGTTGTCCCTGATTCTAAATAGTCTGTCAGGAACCCAGAGTGTCTTGCAAGGGTTCAAGATTCCTTCCTACACTGCAACTGTGGGTTGTTCTGAAGCCCTCATACTTTAGCCCCACCTGGGACCTTTTCTCACCCCTTCCTGCTGTCAAAGGTCTCATTTCTGATAAATTATACAGAGCACTTTCCTCACCCTGTCCCAGCCTAGCACTTCACCTACACCATGAGTCCATTCTGTCCTAATAACAGCTCAACAGGGAGGTACTGGTATCCCCTGTCTCATCCATGGGGAAACTGAGGCTGAGCAGGTAACTCCCAAGGTCACACAGCAAGTGGAGAGCAGAAATGAGACTCCAATGGAGTTGGACAGAGCTCCAGATGAGGGCACTTTGCTGCCCCGACCTGCAGTGATGAAGGCCCTGGCAGTAAGCCAGAGTCCAGGCCTGTCCACCCAGGAGGCCTTACCCCACAGCACACCCAGAGTAGTGCCCTGGGGGCTCCGGGTTTTAAACTTTCCAGGTTAGAAACATAACCTGGAGAAACACTATGCATCCCTCCCCATAAACACTCGATCAGTGTGTCACTGGGGGAAGTGAGGCTCGGACCTCCCAGGCCTGAGCTCCATACTAGAGTGCAGACCTGTGTGGATGGGCTCAGCCTTCTTTATTTGTGATTTTAAGAAAAACATTTTTTGACAGTCTCACTATGTTGCCCAGGCTGACCTTAAACCCCTAGATTCAAGCAATTCTTACTGCCTCCCACGTGGTGAGACTATTGCCATATGCCATCAAGCCTGGTTTTGATTTTTAATAGTTTTTAGTTAATTTTTAAAAAAATTATGGTAATGGAGATTGAAACCAAGGGTGCTCTACCACTGAACTACATTCCACAGCCCTTTGTATTTTATATTTGGAGACAGGATCTCGATAAGTTGCTCCTGCCTCAGTCCCCAAAGTAGCTGCGATTACAGGTATGCACCACCATGCCCAGTTTTATTTTTTTTAATTAGTTGAAATTGTATATCCAATTGTATGTACAATGTGTAATATTTTGATATACATATACATAGTGAACTGATAATTATGATAAAGGTTGTTAGTATATTCATCTCTCCATATAGTTACTGTGTGTGTGTGTGTGTGTGTGTGTGTGTCTATGAACATGTCAGATCCACTCTCAGCAGATATCCAGTACACAATACAGTGTGATAAATCACAGACATTAGACCTCTAGGGATTACAAATTCTGTGTCCTAGAAGTTCTGTCTTCTTTGACAACCATCTCCCCATTTTCCAGGGGGTGATGATAAATGCCTGCCCAATGAGAGTGAGAAGCTACTGCTCTGGTCCTTGCCTCACTGGTGAGAACTGAGTTTCAGAGATTAAGTTCTCAGCTGGAACTAGGGTCTCCCAGTTCCCAGGTGGCAGACCCCCCACTGTGCATCCCTTCCTCCGAACCACACGTTCAGTGTTCAGGATGGTGTCCACGCCAAGCTTGGTGTTGCAACAGATCTTAATGGGTTACAATTGGTAGATGCCTATGTGTCTCTGGACCTCTGATTTCAGAGTACAGTGCTGGTTTCTATTTTAGTTTCTTCTGGTTATCCAAGCCCTTTATTGGGAAATGGGCAGAAAGAGAAAAAAACAGTTTCAATTGTTCACAGCTTACAAAATTTGGGGGAACTTTGGTCTTCTGAAACTCCAGCCTTGAAAGTTCCAGGTGGAGAGTCTGGGTGTAGACCCATGAAACACAAAGCTCTTCTCCAGCAACTTTCCCATCACTGCTCAGGCTGATTAGTAGTTTTCCTCCCTGATTAGAGAGTGAAATAAAAGAGAAAACCTCATTGACACTCTCTTGAACACAAACAGTAGAAAGACAACTCTTGGGGTTTTAAGAGTTTTGGAAAAAAATGATCACATAGAACCAGAGCCAGGCATGAAAGTTTAGACCTGGGAGAGGGCTGGGCAGGAAAGAGGCAACCCTTAGACTTGCATGTGGAACACAATTTGAGTAGCAAGACCCTGAGAATGGGAGTTTTTGGACAGTTACCTTAGCATTCCAAAAATAAATAAATAAATAAATAAAAGCAACATCATGTTTTGGCCATAGTACTATCTCACCTGGGTACAGAGCTTAATTCATAATTAAGTAATTAATAAGTAGACAGTTCAATTAAAGTAATTCATATTCAATTAAATGAATATGCAAACTCCAAATATTATATGCACAGTCACTATACAAATGTACTCCCACAGTGTTATGGTTTAAATATCAAGCGTCCTCCAAAGACTTGTGAGTTGAGGGCTTCGAATTCAGTGCAGTAATGTTCAGAAGTGGGATATTTTGGGAAGTCACTGGAACATGATCTCATTAGTGAATTAATCCATGGATAGTTGGATGGATCCAGGAGGTGGAGGAGACTTTGGGAGGTAGAACCTGGTGGAGGGAGTGGTCCTTGGGGACATGTCCTTGGGTACTACACCTCGTCCCTGGGTCTTACCCCTTCTCTTTTATTTCTGCCTGCTCCCCAGCTGCCATGAGCTTAGCACCTTTCCTGTGCTGCATCCTAGTTCACCTTAGGC